TGTGTGTGTGTGTGTGTGTGTGTGTGTGTGTGTGTGTGTGTGTGTGTAGATATCCACAGACGCCAGAAGAGGACACTAGATCTTTCGGAGCTAGAGTTAGTTGCACAATGCCTGATATGGGGCTAGGAACTGAACTCGGGTTCCCTGAACGCAGAGCCAGTGCTCTTAAGATGGCTGAGCCCTCTCTCCAGTCCCCCCAGAAGAACTTTTGCTAAGGCTACTGACCAGGTAGTGTGACTCGACAGGGGAGATGACAAAACGAAGATCAGGCTAGACCAGGAGGATGGATTAAATGAGACACTTAGCCAAACTTCAAATGCTATTGGGAAGCAGAGCAACAAAACCCAAAAAAGGTGGTGTGGGGGAGCACTGGGGAGATGGATCAGTGGTTCAAAGTACTGGCTGCTCCTCCAGAGGACCTGGGTCTAATTCCCAGCATGCTCATGGTGGCTCACAACCACCTGTAACTCCAGTCCTAGGGGACCCAATGCCCTCTTCTGTCCTGAGGGCACCAGGCATGGTGCATAGTCATATACAGGACCTTGGACAGTGTGTCAAGGCATTTCTAGAAGGTTCCTCTGCAAAAGTCCAAAACAAAAATCATCGAGCCTCTGGTCTGCTGGGTGGCTCATTTCTGCTGCTAGATCTGCTTGGGGGGACATTGCAGGCAGAGCAAACGGGAGAGAAGAAGACAGCTTCCTGTCCACTTATCCTTCTCTCTCAGCTCAATTTTCCCCAAGCCCAGCCACTGCCAGACATCCCCCCTTTGTCCCAGAGACAGCAAGACCCGGGGTTCAGCTTTGCACCTCACTACTGGACGGTGTCAGAGCCACCAGAACCCACCAGGATGGAGCGGTTCTTAGCAGTTGTCTGCAAGTGCAGATAGTGAATTCCAAACTGGCTGCAAGAGGGGACCAAGCAGAGACGAGCTGACAAAGGCCACCCCGGAGACCTGATCTACATCTGCCAGCCACGTCTGTGCACGCCATCTCCTCAGATGACAGGCAGGGTGACAGCAGCCCCCTCACTGCTCTGAGGCAGGCTTCATTTGGGTGTCTGTAATAACAAAGAAGGGCAAGACTGATAAAGGGTACCTTTCATGTCACAATTTAGTTCTGGTTTGAGGTGAGGGGATAAAAAAAGGAGCTCACACAGAATTTGAGTGCAAAAAATAAATATAAAATTTATTAAAACACCCACAATATTTTAAAGATGCCAGGAGTAATACAGTTCACAAACCCAGTTGTTTGTGTAAATTATAATAAAATACAAATCAAAAAAGGATACATACTTGCAATTTCTAGGCACCCTAAATTAAATTTACTGAAACACTGGGGGAGAAGGGAAGGAGGGGGAGGCGGTAGCTCAGGAGACAAACCAATAAAGTGGAAGGAAAATATTAACAAAAAGGTAAAAATTATACAAAATAAAATTATCAGCATAAATTTACTGTACTAAGATATCTACAGTTTAATAATACACATCCTATTGCCTTGAGACATTGCAAAAACCTACCATTCATCCATCAACCCCAGATAAACTTCATTTCAAGTAGCCACAGTTTACAAAGTCAAGACGGAATATTCAAGTATGGTTGTTAAGTTCACCTCCATTGGAAGCCAGGAAACCAAACAGGAATTCAAAGATAAGAAAACATACCGAAAAGCGACAGGGTTCTAGGATCAAGTCTAAAGCGTTAGTATGCCGAGACAGCCGGTCCTTGCTTCTTTAAACACAAGAAACGAAATGACACCACTCCTGCCTGTCTTTCCCCCCTCAAAAGAACAAAACAAAACAACAAATCTGCATTGGAATCAAGGAAATTTGGGATGTCCAGATGAGCCAATTAGTACCTGAAGTCCCCAGTATATGAAGAGTGAGGGCTCCCCCTGAAGGATGGGCGGTCAGAGCGAGGAGAGCATGAACGGGTGATACCTACAGAAAGCGTCCCTGATATCAGAAGCAAACGAGGAGCAGCTCAGACAGCTCCCTGATCCATAGGCACACAGCCCAGAGGCGGCTCCGGTGCCGCGCTCTCTCAGACGAGAAGCCTATTGCTCTGCCTTCCTAGGTAGCGCTCCCGGAAGCAACCATGCAAAGACTGGCGGAAGAGGGGCTGCGAGCCCGGGTTGGGGTACGCACCTCCGATGTGTTATTTTGGTCCAGGGTATGTGGTGAAGTTTGCCTGGTGGGGACAGCAGATAAGACCAGGTGTGGGAGTTTTCAAATGACAGCCACCGTGACAGAAAGCTCGATGAGATGGGCGAAGGAGATTCACATTTTATTCAAAAGCAAAACTTCGAGAATGAGAAAGATCCAACCACACTCCTTCCTTTGGGCACTCTGCCATTTAACTGCCGAAGAATGAGCAGAGAGAATGACCCCAGCTGTGTCAAGGTCAAGGAAGCCATCCAACAGACAACCTTCAGGTATCATACCCTCGTGGACTCTAAGTTGTCACAATGTCCTGTTTTTGAGGTATTTAAAAAAAAATTGTGACAGTGAATGATGTAAAATGGAGCTTCCTGTCAAGTTGTTCTTGAAAGTTACATCAGCTTATGTGGACACAAGGAGAAGTTTAGCACCAACTAAAAGCGGCCTTGGTGGTTTGGAGGGACAAGGAAGCACCTGCCTTTAGTCTCAGCACCAGGAGCTACCAGTGAGCGGCAAGAACCAAGGCTTGCCCGTCCCGTCCCGTCCCTGCCGGGGCCAGGTGAAGACACTCCCCCTGGACCTCAGCCTGCCCCCTCTGGGGTTAGCACCCTGGGCCACAGGAGAATACCTGCCACACTAGAAGAGGCAGGGGCCCTGACTCTCCTTCCTAAAAGCCACCTCCCCGTTTCTAATATGGCCTGAGAAGATAGCACAAACCCACAGTGCCTACCCAGCCAGGCAGGCCACTGCCGTCCTTGTAAGGAGCAAAGGAACAAGCTGCCTTCTCCGCGCGCCTCGCTTTGGCCACCAAGGGGAACAAAACAAAAATAAAATAAAAAAAAAAAAACAAAAACCAAGCCAGAACACTGCTCCGAGCAGACACAGCACGGTCAACAGGTCTACCAAGACAGCACCAAAAGAGAAGGAAAGAAAAGCCGAGAGACGGAGCCCACCTTGTTTTTGGTTGGTTGTGGTTTCGAACGTTGATAGCACCTCAGGGAGACAAGATCGGGGACAGTCACATTGAAACACCATAGCACCATTTATTAGACTATTTCAATTCATAAAAATGCTTCCAAGTCCAGAAAACACACTTCAGTAACAAAAGGAAGGAGGCTGGTTGAGGCACGTCAGGGATTGATCAGTTTTCCACCAGCTTGGCCTTGCTTGGACGTCAAGAGGCCGTCAGGAAAGTCCCCTCGCTCTGTGACACTAGGTTTTCAGCTACTGTCAACCACCCTCACACGTCCACCACCATCAACTACGAAGCAGCAGAGCCCAGCTACCTCTGTCCCCCCTTAGCACACTCGAATCCCTCGCTCTGCAAACTGTTTCCCCAAGAGCAGGTGGGAGGACCAGAGGAGGCAGAATCCCTTCCCCGGGCACCAGGGCCACCTCAGCGAATCGGCAAAGCAGCGCCCAGGAGGGCTGGGGGACCAGACCCCAAACCGAGCCCTCTGACCTGGGCGACACCCTCAGTGGAGCTACCGACAGGTGGTCTCTTCAGCTAGCACCAGTTATTTCATGAGAACCTGCTGCAGAATGACTTTTATTCTGAAAGAAAACCTCTCGGGGTAGAGCTTCCCGAGTCCTCTCGCACACACCGGGCAGGGAGAACGGAACAAGACAAAGCAGGGTGGGGGCGGACGGGGCACCGAACGCTTGCACTGCACGTGGACTGTGGCCGTGGACGGGCACACTGGGAGCGGACTCCAAGGCCGTCACCTCCCTTGCTATAATGGTACTTTCTCTAAAACTCGCTCATGCTGTCAGGTTCTTGAGTTGCAATGGCTTTATTTTTTATTTTTTTTCTTCTTCTCATGATAAAAATGTCTTGTCAATCATCTTCAGGACTTAAAAAATGATAGTGCCAGTAAAAAATAAAAATTTTGATTTTTCTCTTTAAGAAGCCTTCAGCAGCAAGGGGTGGGGGGTATAGAACTGTGCATAGTTACGTCTTAAATACACGTCTAAAGCATGCTCATTTCAATGACAGATTTGAGGTAGGTTATACATGTAGTGTGTGAAAATCAGCACGGGCTCAAGCACAGCCACAGCACTGAGCCCTGGAACAGCGCTCGCTGGGACCTGAAAGGCCAACACAGAACGCCTCTTGCCTCACCTCACCTCACAGCAGCCCGTTTCCCGGCCTTCTAGAGCTTATGAACCAAGGCTGTGCAGGCTTGGGGGATGGACGTCACATGCTTTTTAGCTTGAACTGGTTTCTCCATTCATCTGATGGCTTTGCTACCAAAGGGTGAGGAGGGCTGGAGCATACTGAATACACGTCGGAGAGATCCACACACCGCCAACAGCAGACGCACCTGGGCCACACCTGGGACCTCGCAAGCTAACAGCCAACCTGGGGCTTCCACGGGCCGTGTACACGGTCACATTCTCCAAATGCTTTGTAAAATATCATATTTAAGATCATTTAAAATGAAGTTTTTCAAGGCACCCCCGCGTCTACCTAAGCACGGAGTCCGATGAGACCTGCATAAAAGTACTGATGCGATTAAGCAAAATAGCATTTAAAGGACCCAATTCTCCCTCAAAACTAGAAAATTAGCATGCGCCTTAAAGCCTCTGACTCCTTAGCTCGTCAAACAGAAGGTCAGAGGCTTTCCTATAAATCTGAATTCTGAATAATTCTAAATCCTGATAAGCTCTTGGGTATTTATTTCAAAAGCAATAATATTTCATTTTTTTCTGTCCTGTAAAATAACTGCAACTTTACAGAATATGGTGAAGGTGGATTGACAAAGCACATTAAATATTCAGCTACTATTTACAGTTTCTCCCACAATTACATGTTAAAATGTACTTTTTATTCTTTTCAAGTTGCTGTTTAAATCTAGGCAAAAGTGCTTAAAAAAATCTTTTCACTATTTACAGTTAAAACCAGACCACAAAAATGCTCAGGACACCTTTTAGCCACTCTCTGCCAGTGCTTCCGAAGGGCTACAGTCAACACCCAGCCGCTCGGCTCTCAGCTCTGGCACAAGGCACCGCGAAGCTCGGGGACTCGGACCTGCCTTCAGCACTGCCACGGGATTGCTACGCTCAGTTTATGAAGACCACACCTGGCTAGAACTACTTGATCACTGCTGTCTCGGGGACCGGCTGCTACTCCGCGTGTGTCCCGATGAAGCCCCCCACTCAGCACACACGTCCACGCGAGCAGCTGGATGATAACATGGCTAACAGCATCAGAAAACGAACGCACACTCCGTGAACTCCGACACGCTGCAGACCAGCGCCTCGTCCACCTGTCAGGCCCGGCCTCTCTCAACAATGTCACAGAAATGAAAAAAGCACCAACACTCTCCTTTCAAAGATCTAAACGAATGCACCAGGATTTCAGAACAGGTGTGTGACAGGGGAGGTGAGGAGGAGAGGAAAGAGAGAGATCCAATGGAGAACTGGCCCCCGCAGGGGAGGAAAGCATTAGCAACCTGTTGAAAACGCCTGACCCTTGCACTTTAAAATGAAGCGTAGGCCATGCCCTGTGAGGGCCGGAGGACTGCACCATTGTCCCTTGTGAAGGTCCAGGAATAAGGACGATGAGTGACCTGCCATCACACGGGCTTGCTGAGCTCTGGCAGGACGCCACCTGCCCTGAGTCGGGAAAGTCCCAGCACGACACTACAGCACCAGGCTCCAGCACCACACAGCACCGCACTGCACCGCACCGCACGCCGGCTCTTCACAGCTTGGGTTCGACTTCTTGTTTTCAAAGATACAGTAGCCCTTTTTCAGTATCGACAAACTTTGGGGCGATTTTTTAAAAAAATGCCACTAAGCTTCCTTCAGCCCGGTCGGTCCTCACTGGCTTTATCAATGAGATGGGAAGGGCTCCTGAGGAGCCTCTCGTTCCTGTCCGGTGTGAGGGGCTGCCTAGTGAACCAGGACATCATATGACTTGATAAATAACGGACAGAGAGGATTCAGTGTGGAGACTAGCAAGCTTGAAGCCGCCTACTTCCAAACCTGGTTTCGGGGATCTCTATAACACCAGCATCTCCAGGCCGGGC